TCCTGCTGACTCCAACTCTCGTTCCCAGCTGCCTCTGCCCCATATATTTGTCCTAGACCCTTTGAGCTCTACCACGAGGGTGTCTTGTGAAGAAAGTCGATAATCGTGATTCTCTTTTCCTCTTCTGTGCAGTGCAAAGGACATGAAACATCGGCTAGGTTTCCTGCTGCAGAAGTCTGATTCCTGCGAACATAATTCTTCCCACAGCAAGAAAGACAAAGTGGTTATTTGCCAGAGGTAAGAGAAAAGGTCCTGATGACAAGCCATTGATCATTGATCGTTGATTTACTACCTGTGTACTCACAGAAATGTTCTATGAGAAGAGAAGGAAGCAGGCCCTACATTCAACCAGATTTGGATCAAGATGACCTCCATTTTCATGGCGATCATAATTACACTTGAATTTTTCATACTTTTACCTGAAAAAAACCCTACTCTAATCAACAGGACAGAGTACTTCAAAAAGTTCATGGGAAGATGGAATTAAGTGCAAGCTTATTTTGGCACAATTTTTTTTTAATCCCCACATAGTTTTTTCATGATGTGCATTTCCTATGAGCTTTTTGAAGAACCTCTCGCAGATCTAATCATATGATTAAAATAAAATCTCTGCATTTTATTCAGACTCTTAAGTTCTGCCCAAATTTTGTGTCATGGGATTTAAATTATTCTTTTTTCCTGCACTGTCTCTAGGGTGAGCCAAGAGGAAGTCAAGAAATGGGCTGAATCACTGGAAAACCTGATCAGCCATGAATGTAAGTCTGATGACTTTTTTCCTACTGGGATAAGGATAAAGACACTATGGAAAAGACGAGTTGGTTCATATTATGCTGGTCTAGTAGAAACTGCAGAAAGGTTCAGGTTCTTTTTTTCGGAGAGGTTTTTGCTATAGGGCACGTGCGCTCGCCAGACAGACAGAAAGAGATCTAGAGATACAAAGCGAGAAATCACCCCCCCAGGGGGGATGGTCACGCCGCAATCCCTTCTCTTCCATTCTCCTCTCGGGATCTTGGGCATGCACACACACACACGCCCGGCGTGAGTTTTAAGCCACCGGGTCTGGGACGTGAACCGTGGTCGACTACGTGGAAGTCCAGCAACATAGCCATTACGCTAACTGCTGGTCCCAGGTTCTTTTTGACTTCTAGATCCAGGAGAACCTTTTCATCTTACATTTGGTCCATTTAAAATTCTAATATGCCCTAGACTTTGTTACATACAGCGGAGAATTCATACAGATACCACGTGGAGACTTATCTCTCTCATCGTGTGGGAAATAGGAAAAAAAATCAAAAGACTGAAATCTTGCAGAATCAACCTGATTTTCTTTTGCAAACCCAACTTAGCAATTGATACCTCCATAGGCATTTCTGAAACAATAGCTTTCTGAAATGAGACTTCTTAAACTAGAATCACTAGGTATCACTGGGACCCACTAGATAAAACAAACACAGATTAGGGTTACCTTGCTCTAAGAGGCACCCCAGAGAGGGGGAAAAAGGGGGTTGCTTGAACCTAAGCCTTATTGCTACAAGTACTTCAGCTTCAACTGAAATATCATACCCAGAAGGCCAGCCAGCGTAATGAAAACTGTGCTCTTTCTCCTGCATCACAGGTGGGCTGGCAGCTTTCAAAGCATTCTTAAAGTCTGAATACAGTGAAGAAAACATTGACTTCTGGATCAGCTGTGAAGAATACAAGAAAATCAAGTCACCTTCGAAACTAAGTCCCAAGGCCAAAAAGATCTATAATGAATTCATCTCAGTCCAGGCAACCAAAGAGGTAGGTGTTTGTGATAGAGAACTCTTAGGGTCTCATGCACATTCATAAAAGTAGTATCCAGGAACACAACCGTAAGTCATGTGAATTAAAGGAAAAGATGTAACAGTGGAACAAGCCATTACCAGGACACCTCCAAAAGTCTGTGGGAAATTCATGTCATCAAAATTCATAGATTTAAAAAATGTTTACACCAAAGTAAACCCGTACTTCATTTTCATTTTCCTCCACAAACTTTTGGAAGTTGTTTCATATAATCTCATCAATCCCAAATAGATCGGTTCAGAAAGAAAGCTTTCATGCCTGTGATTTAGATGATCTCCCTTAATGCATTTTTCTGATGAATCTCCCAGTCTATGAGAAAGAACAGATGCTATGGTCCTGCCCACCCTGAAGCCAAGTAAACTTTCTATATGTGCTCACATGTGCCAGGGTGGAGCCAAATGTCCTACTTCTCATTCTTCGGAGGTGAGGGTGCACAGTCACTTACTGTCCAGCACGCAGCTTAGGCCTCCCATCCTCTACAGGGTTAGAGGTCTAATAGTGCCTTGTCCATTGCCTCTCAGGTGAACCTGGATTCTTGCACCAGGGAGGAGACGAGCCGAAACATGCTGGAGCCCACGATAACCTGCTTTGATGAGGCCCAGAAGAAGATTTTCAATCTGATGGAGAAGGATTCATACCGCCGCTTCCTCAAGTCCCGATTCTATCTTGATTTGGCCAACCCTTCCAGCTGTGGGTCAGAGAAGCAGAAAGGAGCCAAGAGTCATGCAGACTGTGCTTCCCTGGTCCCGCAGTGTGCCTAATTCTCACTAGGAGGCAGAGGGCTCAAATGCCAAGACTCTAAGCTCTGGAAAAACCTGAGGCCAAATATCAATCTTATTAAGCCCTAGTGCTTTATCCACCTTGTAGCCTAGTATTCATGCTGCCTGCCAAGTGTGAGTCACTTCCACGTAAAAACTAGATTTAGTGCTTGGATGTTTGTCATGGTAGGACCCCATTCCAGTCCGATTTTCCCAAGTTTCTTTGAGGGTGCCATGTGAGCAAGTATCCAAATAATGGCGTCGTGTGTCTGGACTTCCCAAGATCGTTGGCCAAACTCTCCACCCAACGGCTCGATCTCAGGTTGGCCGGCACACTTCATGTGACATCGATGCGCACACGCATTCTGGCAGCCAGCACTTCATCTAGACTGGATATTTAGATGGCATTGATTGATTGTATGGACATGTGTGTATATACACATATACATCCCGTATATGTATGTGCGTCTGTGTACATATGTGTATGAGTGTGTGTACATACACGCACACATACATTTCTGCAGAGTGGACAGGAAAGACTTCAGGTGCTCTTGACTAGAGAGTGTGCACATCCTTACAGTCCTGTCCTGACAGCTGGTCTTTCAGACTGCATTTGCACAGGGCAAACTGAACTAACTGCCGTGCAGGCTAAGAAGGGGATGTTAACCTGTGGAGAGCTAGTTCTATAAAACCCCACGGGTCTTGCTGGAGAAGCACTGGAGGAACCCCATGCTCAGTTGCACCATGGCTGGTCTCTACATTGAGCACTATTCTAAGGAGCAAACAAAATGCAGAACCATATACCTGCTTGACAGAGCTGCCTTGGCCTGGTTCTCACTCTTGGCACTTTCGGGTCCCTAGACTGCTGGCCTCCCCTGCTTTGGCTGGGTGCTCTCAGGATATGCTGTTAGCAGCTGGGGTACTAAGGGACTGGAGAGGGGGGTGCCTGTGCAGGATGAAGAAATGCTGTTAAGGCCTTGCCAGCTCCACCTACCAGAAATGACTGGCTGGATGAGGGCACATAATTTAAAGATTACTATGCTTTCTTTTATCCTTTTTTCTCCTCTTAATCAAGGTGCTCTTCTCTCCTCTCTCTCTCTCTCTCTCTCTCTCTCTCTCTCTCCTCTCTCTCCCTTGAGAACTTTAGCTATCAGAAGAGGCTCCTTAGTTCATTGTGATTGGTTGATTGTTTTCCCCCCCTCAATGGCTCTAAGCCATCTGCCTGCATTTACCAGTCAGCAGCAGGTGTAAGATCACATTTTCTAAGAGGGAAACAAGTCTTCACAACCTGTAAAGCCCTTGTAAGTGTTCTCCTTCAAGATAGGATTTCTCATTTCACCCCAAGAATCAGGGCCACTAGAGAGCAGAAGCATTTCTTTCTAGACTCTGAGAAAGAAAAAAGAAAGAAAAGAAAAAAAAAAAAGAGGATAACATTGTTAGAACTACTGTTTGAAACTTTTCAAGGCACATGAAATACTTGAAAATTTCTCATTTGTGTTATTTATGATGTTGTTTTGTATAATGTTTTTATTACTATATTGTTTTATAAATGAAGGTGCAGGATATCACCTGAATTATTCGTGAATGCCCAGGAAGTAATTTTCTTCTCATTCTTCTAAAATTACTGCCTTTGAAAGTGGATACGCACACACTGCACCCATTGCACCAGTGTAAAACCACACGCATGAGCACCTTTGCGGCTCTTCAGCCAAGGCACTGGGCTGCGAAACGAAGACACCTGGAGAGTGTGTTTGTAAGGCTCATTGTATTAAAGATGAGGGTTTTCTCATTGTACCTTTCTTGTCTTTCTGGAGTCTTGCTCTTCACGTCCCCAGTTTCTCATCAGCATCCCTTTCCGTTATGCACGGTTCCACAGTTTTGCCTCTAGTTGAGTCTAGACGTGTAACCCTATTGGTCTTGCCCCTTGTAACTGTCATGACTTTCAGATTGTACCTGTACTCGGACTGCTCTCTCACAATGGGTCTGGAAGGTCACTCTGAATGAGAAGTAAATTATTTTATGTAATATATTTTTGAGTGTGTTTTTCAGTTGTATTTTCCTGTTATTTCATCACCGTTTGACATGGTGTGCTTACCTGCTCCTGGCCCAGGATAGAATATTCCTTCCATATGCATGCCTGATTCTATCATGAACTTTATAGGCCTCAAAGGTGATGCTTCCAGTGAAATGCACGCATCTTAGTAATAAGGGTAAATAAATGCTTCATATAAAACTACCTGCTTGGAAACACATTAATGATCCACAGTCATGCTAAGAAAAGCAGCAGGGCTTAGGGTGACTTTGGGAACTTACTGACGTGGAGTGTTCTATCCTTCTTATGTCAACTGACTGAGGGAAAGAAAGTAGATGCCAACCATTGTTTATTCTGTAGTTCCTGCCACACCTCTGCATGCCTCTACTCACAGGACCTTGGTTTGAGAGACTTTTCCAACTAGATTGAGTGAGTCCTTTGCAGGTCCTCAACAGGTTTTCAAAGGATAGAGTTTACTTCCTAGAACAGCTCTTTGCTTCTCACTACCTGCCTGATCGAAAGAGGATGGAGCAGTGAGAATTTGAGAGGATTAGCAGAAGAAGATATAGACATCTGAGAGATAAGATTTCTGACCGAACTACTCAAAATCCTTCCTTCTCTTTTGCAGACTCCCTAGAAAAGAAGTCGCAGAATGTTTACATCCTCAGGCATGGGCTCTGCGTCTGTTAGGTCATGAGACTTCTGTTTCCTGAATTCTAGTTCTTCCTTTTCTATTGTAAGAGTCATGCTTAAAAGGTATTAGAGACAGAAGATCTTCAATATTTTTGAGTAACACACCCTTGTGAGGATCTGGTGAAAACTATGGACCGTGTCCTGAGAGAGCACACCAAATAATACAAATTGCTCCTAAGTTTTTAGTGGAATCGTCTACAATCCCCTCTCCAAGCTCACAAGCCTATCATTCCTCTCTTATACTACTAATGTATCAACCCCTCACAGAGAGCGTGCAATTGCTATTCCCTGTAAATAGCATCTTCCAAGGATCACAGGGGAAATTAAAGCCACTACTAGTAGCAAGTGTGAGCAGCGTTGTTTTCCCCAGGCTCTACCTCCTTCAAACTTTCTTTCTTCTTTATGGGTGCATGTACTCACCAGAGAGGAAAGAGACAGAGAGAGGGAAAGGGAGAAGTAACCCCTCAGAGGGGATGGCCATGCTGCAATCTCTTCTTCTCCATTCCCCTCTTGGGATTTTGGGCATGCATGAAAATGTGGGTCCAGAATTCAAACCATGTTCCACCATGTGGGAACCTAGCCACCCTAACCACCATGCCACCCACTGGCCCCAAGGACTGGTTTTTATAAAACACTATTATTTGCTGTGTGTCAGGTACTGTTTAAATCATATAAAATAACAACATTCTCACAAGAAGACTGAAATATAGATATCAATCATGATCATTGCCTCAGCACATTTTTACTGCAGGAAATTTAGGTACCGAGAAGTAAGCTGCCAAGGTCAATCTGTCTTCAAGTGGCAGGGTTGGGATTTGAACCTAGGCAGCCTTGCCTCCAGCGACCATGGCATAAGCATGTAGTACTCACCAAATAACCACAGGCCAGTGGAATAAAATCGATGTTGCTTCAAATCTGTGTGGTCATGAGTAGAATGCATTCTGGATGAATGCATTCTCTATCTCTTTCTTCCCCTTCTATGACAACTTTGGAGATTACGTTCCAGACAGCACAACTCCAAGATGAAGGACCTCCTGACTCGCTTTAAAATATGAAGAGCATTCCTGATTGAAGTGGTTTCTGTGCGGGGCTGTCTGGTACTTCAGCAGAGCATTGCTCTCTCTGACTAATGGAGAGACCATGCTCTTACCCCTTTTGCCTGACTGTTGCCTTTAACTGTACTGGGGACAGACTTTAGAGTGTGGAGTAAGAGGACTCCTTCACATAAACAGCTGTTGGAAAACGAAAACTTGACTTTATTGGGGGATACACCACAACTGAAGGTGCTTCAGGCTATGTTCTAGAAGTCTGTGTTATTAGTGCTTAGATTTCTAGAGTTAGAAATGGGATGATAGAGATGGGAAAAAGGGAAAAGGAGGAAAGAAAAGAAATAAATAAGAACTGCTTTCAAGAACAAAACAACTATCCATCAGCCTAGGCCAAACATATGAACAAAAAACTTACCAGAGCAAAGTCAGTGGCATAAAATGGCTCATACGACACATCCCGAAAACATACTTCACTTCATTCAGAGGCTAAATTCAAACCATTATTCAAACCACAGCAGCCACTAAAGTACCAGATGACTGACTGAATCATCTACTGTTTTAATTCAAATTGCTTCTTCAACATGTAGCTGTCTCATGGAAATATGACATGATGTTAGAATAGAGAAAAATAGGTGAGATGACAGGATTTATTTAGAAATTAGGCTTGTTTCTTTTTTAAGATTTTACATGCAAAGAAATAATTGGGAGAGTTGGAGTAAACGACTGCTGTGTTTCTAAGGCACGGCCATGGAGGGAAACAATTCCTGGGAGAAAATAGGGTTCCCAGAGAGACCTAAAATTTAATAGTTGTATCTTACCTTTATATCTTATGCTGTAAGTGCTGAGTCTAGAACAAAACTCTAAAGTGTAGGGCATTTGTATCTTCCCATTGCAGACAGGGAGACTTAGATACAGCAGAGAGGAGAAATTTACCTCCAAGATCACGTATCAAAGAAGCGGTAAAGCTTGAAGTCCCTGCCTCCAAAGTTTGTAGGTTTTATTACTCTAATCAAGGAAGAAGGGAAAAGAGGAAATAAAAAGAAGTAGAAACCAAAACAAGCAATGGAAGAATAATAGGAAGAACTGAAAATGGAGAGGAAAAGAAGTAAAAAGATAAAAAGAGTAAAGAAGGGACAAGGGGAAGGGACAGACAGGAAATAAGATGGGGGGAAGGAGGATGAATGAGAGAGGAAAAGGTAACAAAGGTTCATATAGTGAAGGAGGATGGCATGCCAGGCACGTCAGTCCTCGTGTGGAAGGTCAGCTCTAGCCACCTCAGAGCGCCGTGGCCGGGCTGGGGTAGGTGGGACGTTTCCCTGGAACTAGTGAAAAGTGAGTTCTGGAAGCACCTTTGGATACCACGGCAAGGTTCCTAAGAGTCACATTTTTGTTTCCTTTTCTCTAGATTTGCCAGATCCTGAACTACAAAGCCAAAACTTCATTTCTTCATGAGTTATTATTTATGTATTGTTTTGTTTCAAACTATTTATTTAATTGCATCTATTGTTGTTATTATTATTTTTAAATTTGAATATATATAGAGAGAGACAAAGGGAAA